TTCCTTGATAATTTTTTATCTGCAAGATCTATCCAGTGAAGTCAGTAGGGTATTAAAGTCCCCTATTATAACTGTATTGCTTTTTATCTTTCCCTTAAAGTCCTCAAGAAGTGTTTTTTAATATATATTTAGGTGCGCCTATATATGTTTACCAGGGTTATATCCTCTTGTTGTATTGACACCTTTAGTATTATGTAGTGACCCTTATTGTCTTTTGTGATGAAATTCATTTTGAAGCCTATTTGTCAGATATGAAGATTGCTACCCTAGCGTTGTTTTTGTTTTGTTTTGTTTTCCTTTCCATTCATGGAAAATGTTTTTCCATCCCTTCATCCTCAGCCTGTGTGAGTCTTTTGGTCCGAGGTGGGTCATGTTTTTGTATCCATTCCTGTACCTTATATCTTTTGATTGGAGCATTTAATCCATTTGCATTTATGGTTATTATTGATAGGAACTTACTTCTTGACACTTAAGATCTGTATGTCTATGTTTCTCTCTTTATATTTCTTCTCATTACAGCAGTCACATTAGCATTTCTTGCAGTGCTGGTTTGGTGGTGACAAAGCCTTTTTGTCTGGTAAGCTTTTTATTTCACCATCTATTTTGAATGATAGCCTTTCTGGATATAGTAATCTTGATTTCAGATACTTGCTTTTCATTACCTTGAATACTTCATGCCATTCCCTTCTGGCTTATAGAGTTTCTGATGAGGAATCAACCCTTTTGTAGGTAATACATTGCTTTTCTCTCTTTAAGATTCTCTATTTTTAATTTTTGTCATTTTAATTATGATGTGTCTGAACATGGGCCTGTTTGGGTTCTTCTTTCTTGTGACTCTATGTGCCTCCTGGACTTATGTGACTTTTTTCTTCAGTAGGTTGGGGAAGTATTTTGCCATTATTTCTTCAAATATGTTCTCTATCCCTTGCTCACTTTCGCCTCCTTCTGGCACTCTGATTATGTGAATGTTTTTGTTTCACTTTGTCCCATGGCTCCCTTAAACTGTCCTCCTGTTTTTAAATTGTTTTTTTGTTTCTTTGATTGAGTGATTTTTTTTTCTACTCTGTCTTCTAATTCACTGATCCAGTCCTCTGCTTCCCCATATCTGCTGTGTATTCCTTCCACAGTGTTATTAGTGTTATGTCATTCTTTATTTCCGACTGGTAATTTTTCATAATTACTATATTTTTTCTCATGCTGTTGAGCATCTTTGCCATTATTATTCTGAGCTCTATATCCGATAGATTTCTTGTCTCTGTTTCATTTAGTTCTTCTTCTGGTGAATTCTCCTCTTCTTTCATTTGGGAGTTGTTTCTTTGTCTTCCCATTTTGGCTTTCTATCTGGGTTTGTGTATATATATTAGGTAGATCTGCCGTGACTCTCAATCTCTAATGCAGGATAATGTCAGATGCTGCTTCTGACTGGCACTTAGTACTCTGTTTGAGTCTATCAGCAATCCACAGCTTGTGGCTCCCTCTGTTGGGGTTGGGTGCCTTAGGAAAGCACCACAATGTGCACCAGGGTCTGCTTTTCTTAGATCAGGGCCTGAGATTATATCAGGACAGACTCAAAACCTCCAGGGATCCACATCTGCCTGCAGTTTGATTTTTATTCATGCTTGATTAACCTTATGCTGACCACAGGGTGGGACGAGATGACTTCCATTAGGGTGTGCAGTTGCCTTCACCCCAGCCAAAACTGCCTAGATAGCAAATGTCAATCAGAGAAAGATGTCCTCCACACAGTGAGGGAATGACTCAGTACAGGAGACCAGAAGATTGCCCTCCAAGCTCCAATTCCCACCCCCGCAACCCTGGAATCTCCTGACACAGCTCTAGTCTACTCTTCCCTCCCTCTCCTGGATCCCAAGGTGAAAAGCTGCACACAAAATGTTGTGCCTTGGTCCTTTAAGAGGGTGCCAGCATTTCCAGCCATCTCTCACTGGCAGACAGCAACCTTGATGCTTTTCACAGTCAGGTATTACGTGGGCACCTTTCTCAGTTCTGGTGCTCTGGGCTGGGGAGGCCAGTTTGGGGTTTAGACCCCAGAGTTCTCAGTGGGAAACTCCTAACAGCTGTGATAACACTTTGAAACTTCAGCTGCTGACTGTGGAAGCCCAGCAATCCCTTTCTTGTCTCCACACTTCCTACTAGTCTCTACACAGTCTCCACTTTCCATCTTTGGTTATCAGGGTTCTCTCCAGCTAGTCTTTAGTTGATTTTTCAGGGTGAGTTTTCTGTATTTTAGCTGTATTTCCAGTTTGGTCCTTGGAGAGTGTCAGTGTAGCTTCCACTTACTCTGCTGCCATTTTTAATCTCCCCACAGGGTAGTGTTTCATCTTTTCTTATGGCTAAGTAGTATTCCATTGTACATATGTACCAAATCTTCTTTACCCAATCATCTATGGAAGGAAACTTTGGTTGTTTCTATGTCTTGGTCACTGAGAATAATGCTGCAATGAACAAAGTGGTGAATATATTTTTGTGAATAAATGTTTTCAAATTTTTTGTTAGATACGCAGAAGAGGAGTTTCTGGATCTAACTCTGTTCTTAATTCTTTGAGTTTTGTATAACTGCCATTCTGACTGGTCTGAGGTAGTATTTCATTATGGTTTTGACTTGCATTTACTGATGATTAATGATGTTAAATATCTTTTCATCTGTCCATTGGCCATTTGTTTATCAGTTTATAGGGTCTATTATAATTTACAAGATAATTTTTATATATAATCAAATATGTAGAATGATCTTTTACTCAGAGATCACAATTCAGCAATTGAATCTCTTTTGAATAACTTTCATAAACAGAAATATTTTTGAATCCTATAAAATGGTTCTACTGTACTTTATCTAAAGAAAACATTTTAGAAAATATTGCATATCAAAATCACAGTGCAACTAGTGGTTCCTGTCCAGGAAACACATACAGCTATAGCTAAAATATTTCACAGAAAGTAAAGCATTTCCTAGAATTCAATTTGACACAGTATCTGTTCATTATAGTTCCACAATTCCATGACAAACATTATAAAGGAAGCAGAAAATGGGCTGTTCTCTAAATTATATATATATATACCTCTTTTTGTTTAAAAGTACTATAACTAAATTAATACTTTCATTTATAAATTGATGGGATATTACAGTTAAGAAAATATAGAAACTATTAATGAAGATCACAAGAGGCACTGATGTCAGGAAACTGACAGTGAAAAAAGGTCCTAAAGAGTTAAAAGGTTAAAGTTTCCTAAGACTATTGGAAAAATGGTTGGAACATGAAGAGGAATGGTAGAAAATGTAACAATGGAATTCTATGGAATGTTTTTTACTTACTCACAAAACTACCTGCCTGACACCTAGGGTAGCTTGAGTAGTAGCAGAAAACCTGGTTGAATAAGGTGATGTCAGATTTTGCAAGGAATTAAAACCAGAAGAGAGATGCTTTTTCCACTAGCCATATAGGTCAGGGTACCTCTTAGGAGAGTCAATCTAAAAATTTAATTATGCAATTATTTCCACATAGGAAAATTCAAATAAGGAAATGGAGAGCTGTATCTTTTTTTCCTTTGCTAGGCTGTCTGCATTGAAAATTCCTGCATGGTGAGAGGAAGCAAGCAAGGGAGAAATGGTGCTATTCACATATTCCGAGAGATCATCAAACCAGCAGAGAAATCCCTCCATGAAAAGTTAAAACAAGATAAACGCTTTAGGTAAACTTAATTAGTTTCACATCCACAAAAGAATGAGAGGTATTGGCATATTTTTGTTTCACAGTTAGAATTCCAAACGGCATTTAATATTCAGTATTGCTGATCATAAAACTTAGAATAATAAGTCTATGAAACTAAATATATTCTCAACATTATTTTGCTTCCTGGTGCAACATAATATAATTTGGTGACTGAAAAAAAAAAACAATCTTATAAACTGAACTACTCTTTGCAAGTTTTTAATATAATTAAATTTTTAAATAATATTATTTAATAGCAAAGGCTATTTTGTAGAATATTAAATTAAAAATGTTTATTTGCTATAAAGTGTGACCTTTTCATGTTTTATAGGAGAAAAACAGTATTTAGAAAATTTAAAAATCACACATAGCCCTAACTGGTTTGGCTCAGTGGATATAGCATCGGCCTGTGGACTGAAAGGTCCCAGGTTAGATTCCAGTCAAGGGCCTTAGTTGCAGACACATCCCCAGTAGGAGATGTGCAGGAGGCAGCTTATCGATGCTTCTCTCTCATCAATGTTTCTAACTCTCTATCCCTCTCCCTTCCTCTCTGTAAAAAATCAATAAAATATATTTTTAAGAAATCACAGGTACCTTTAAATAATTTCCCCATGAAAAAACTTTCTTAACAGGTAAATTGCATATGAAACCTATGAAAATATATGAACAACTTTCTCATGCTTTCTGAATACATGGATTATATTCTATTCCATGCATTGTAGGTGAGCATACTATATCTAAATCTAACAAAATAAACACATGTCTTTTCTGTTTAGCATCTTCCTTAGCTTTCTAGAAGCTGCAGACTTGAAAGAGCTCTTAACACAACCTGGGGATTGGACTTTATTTGTTCCAACCAATGATGCCTTTAAGGGAATGACTAATGAAGAAAAGGAAATTCTGATTCGTAAGTAAAAGTGAATATGGAATATTTCAGGATCTAATATCAGGATCTAATTTCTTCCTCAAGGGTTTCTGCCCAGCCTCAAAAATATTTCCTTTTTAAAAATTTTTGTAGAGTCATAGTTTTCATTATTTTCATTTAAGATATGTGAAGGGTCACTCATTAATATTCTTAGTTAACTGCTTACTGTCATGTGTTTGGGCTATGTGTTCATTTATGTTATTTATCAATAGTAACTTGAGAGAACAATTAGAAATACAGTGTGGGAATATAAAGACAAATATTTTTCTCTTTAGTATTCCTAGCATCAAAATGCCAAAACAAGATGACATGTTATTAAATAAATATATATATATATATATTTTCCTTCTAGGCAACAAAAATGCTCTTCAAAACATTATCCTTTATCACCTGACACCAGGAGTTTTCATTGGAAAGGGGTTTGAACCTGGTGTTACTAACATCCTAAAGACCATACAAGGAAGCAAAATCTATCTGAAAGGAGTAAGTTTTATGGAATGAATTTATGATAGTGTTCATAAATTGTAATGTTCATTTTTCATTAAATTTCTCATCGACATTATTCCTTGTTTTGATAGGTAAATGACACACTTCTGGTAAATGAATTGAAATCAAAAGAATCTGACATCATGACAACAAATGGTGTCATTCATGTTGTAGATAAACTTCTCTATCCAGCAGGTTGGTAATTATTGAATTCATTAATATGCTAAATCTTTTTTATTAAAAAACCTAGATCTTTTATTTCATACATTCTTGCCAACATTTATTTAATATTCCTCTTCATAGACACGCCTATTGGAAGTGATCAGCTGCTGAAAATACTTAATAAACTGATCAAATATATCCAAATTAAGGTACAGAATATTATTGGATTTATTTATAATGTGTTGAATATAAGAAACTATAAATGTATACATTAATGAGTAGATGGACACTAGGCTTGGATTGCTCTGTTGATTATGCATCACTGGCCAATCTGTAAAGAAATGACATAAATTCCTTATGGCTTTATTCAACAACAATCCATTAAAATTTACATGAGGCCAAGCAGTGTATTAAGTGTTATGTGAAATATTAAGTTGAATCAGATATGGCTCTTTATGCAAAAATTTTACCATCCAGTAGGGAAGATGAGACATGGAAAAAAACAACTATAATTTTTTTATCCTCAAATATCTTTGCTACTGAATATAAGAAAAAGTATATACTTATAAAAAGTTGTCATTAATCATAATTGTTAAAGGCAAAGAATATTTTGCTTCTTTATTACTATAGAGTCAATGTGTCAGAAAACACATGACTTTGGATTAAGTATTCTATAATTTTCAAGACTGAATTACAAATCTATAAATGTTAAGCTATCAGCCTTATAGCAGGAAACTGGAATTTGACTCATATTAAGACTTCATTTCTGTTAAGTGTAATGATAGCTTTATTTTATTTACCTTAGTAAGAAATACAGTGGTTCCATATTTTTTAATACAACTAGCCTTAGTTTTATGTTATAAGTATACATGTCATATTACTACACTTCATGTATAAACATTTATTTTCAGTTTGTTCGTGGTAGCACCTTCAAAGAAATCCCCATGACTGTCTATAGTAAGTACATATGGGTATTAGTCACATATAAGTGGAAAAATAAAAAATATTAATAATGTTTTTTATATTTACAAACAGAGACTACTGTTAATCTGGTATTTAGAATTTCAGACAATGGCAAATTGGATCCCACTTTAAATAAGGCTTGAGCTTAGAATGAGACCTCTCATCATTAGCCATGCCCTCCAACTCCAAGAAACCATTTCCCCACTCATCCAAAAATATATAAGAACTAGAGGCCCGGTGCACAGGATTCGTGCACTGATGGGGGGTGTGGCCTGCGGGGATTGGCATGCTTTGAGAGCGCCGCTCTCACTGTGGGAGCTGAGCAGCGCTCGCACTGTGGGAGCACACTGACTACCAGGGGTTAGCTCCTGCGTTGAGTGTCTGCCCCCTGGTGGTCAGTGCTTGTCATAGTAACTGGTCAACCAGTCATTCTGGTTGTTCCACTGTTTGGTCACTGGGCTTTTATTATATAGGATAGCAGTAAAATATAATAGCTAGTATGGCAGAGAAGCAGAAAAAAAGACATACAAACCTTAAAAGGAAGAGCTAGGTAAAAAGCACTTGAGAGCTATCTGAAAATGCAGATGTGTGGACACAGAAATAGCATTGCCAAAGGATTTGTCACTTACTATACCCTCAAGTCCTCAGTTGGCTAAATTCAGGGTGGAACACAAAGTGACAAAGAATCTTAATGTTTATGACTTGGTGGTCAAAAACTCTCTCCAAAATTGTACAAAGAAATAAAATTTTTGCCAGGTTATAAACATAAAGTTTCTAGATCCCAAGGTTCTTTTTATCCCTGATTCTATTAAACCCGTACTATTTAACATTGGTAAAGGATACATCTTTCTCATAAAAAAAATTTGTGGTATTTCTTTTTCAATGTGACTTTTCTTCCTTTGAATTTTTTCTTTTTTTTCTTGTAACTTTCAAAGCAGAAATTCTTTTAATTTTGTTTTGACTCTACAGTTAAACACTCAATATATAATAGTTGCTAAAAAAATTATTTCAATTTCCACATCTATTCTGACTAGAAAATTATTCTATTTTATACCATTAGAATCTGCAATTTAAGAAAATTTTCTTTAAGATTCACACTTGGTATGGAAAAGAAGTAAAGACAATATAATGAGCAAAACAAAATGTCTGCTGCTCTTACTGATTTCACTTATGTCATAACGAGAGGCCCAATGCACAAAATTCATGCAAGAGTAGGCTTTCCTTCCCCTGGCTGCCAGCACTGGCTTCCCTCTGGCATCCGGGAACCAGGCTTCCCTTGCAGCCCCGGCTTCACCTGGAAGGTAGTCCAGAAGAACGTGTGGAAGGATGTCTGGTATAAATTAGCATATTATGCTTTTACTAGAGGCCCAGTGCACAAAAATTTGTGCATTCGGGGGGGAAAGGGAGGTCCT